TATACTGATCAAAATGATAGAGTAGTGGTACAAAACAAGGAAATATTTTTCTACACACTCTGCATTCAATTAAATTATGTAAATCACCGTTATGTTTCTCTTAATTGCTGAATTAATCTATGATTCAACTTACTTAAGAGAAAAAACTAATGTATACTTATACTAATTTAATTGAATGCCAAGTGTGTGGCAAAATATTTTTCTTATGTAGATCATTTTGATCAAGTTTATGGAAGAAAATGTTATATGTTAATAATTCAACGAAATGTTAAAAAATCATGAATGAATATGTTGGTTTATATGTTATTATTATTTGATATTCATTATTGATTCGCCGAGAATTTTAGGACCGACTATGATTCGTTTTTGTACGATTAGAAAATTCCCTTCTTAATAAGAGTAATTTTTAATTTTTAGTTTGTTTAAAAACTTTCTTGCAAGGAAATCACTCCTATCTAGGGTATTTCTCCCTTTTATCTTTGAGGCAAATCAACTTTTCATATGAGGAAGACAATAAGCCCTAGGTTATTTTGTCCAAGATAAGTAATAAACTCTTTTTGCTTATAAGACTTTCCAGTTTTTTAACACATGTGTTATATGAGTTCATTTTTTAGTACGTGTGTTGCACGGGCCTCTAATGTTCCGAGTAATTAAGTTTACAATGATAGTTGAGGTTGGTCAGTACCTCCAACGAGACCATAATGATGGGACATGTCGTTACATTTATGTTTCTTCTTGGATGCCTTGTAACTCAATTTTGTCTCCAAAAATCTATCTGTTGTCACATAACTGATTTTTCTTTAACTAAAAAAAAGGATTTGTAGCCTCTTTCAAAGCTACAGAGCTAACAGAATCCAAGAAGAGTTCTAAATTAGTTGTCAGGGTCAGTTTGGACCAACTAAAAAGGCTAACTAGACATCTGCCTCACCATAGATCTCTAGAAAGTTAAAATTCCATCAAAACATCATTTGTTCATCTCTGTCAATAAAAACCAAAATATTTACACCAAAAGATAGCACTAGGGATCATTTAGTTCCCTGTCATTTAGGTTTCTCCTGAACCTTTTGTCCTAAATGTTATCTGATCTGTTGGATGGTATGGTAGAATTTGATTCAGTTGCAATGAGGTGGAAATCTTGAAATTCCTCACCCAAAGTTGTGTCTCCCAACCATATGTCGTTCCAAAATTTGATGTGAGATCCATTGGCAACTCTAAATGTGACGTTCCCAGCAAAATCTGGCAAAGTTTACCGATGCTTTTCCATAGACCAACTCCATATGCATCTGTTGAGACATTTATGGACCAGTGAGTAAGATCACCATGTTTATCTTTGATCACCTCTTTCCACTATCCAATGTCTTCAGTTCCGTACCTCCATAATAATTTCATCATCATGTTTTTATTTGTAAGCTGCAAGATCTTTAATACCCAAACCTCCTTGAGATTTCGGTTGTGTCACTTTTGCCCATTTAACCTAGTGAATCTTATGATCCTTGCGGTTTCCTTCGCATAGAAAATTTCTTCTCATGCTATCGAGCTTTTCGAGAACTTTTGCTGGAATAGGTAAAAAGGGACATATTATATGTAGGGATGCTATCTATTACACTATTAATCAATAAAACTCTTCCTCCAAAAGAAAGATATTGCATTTTCCATGTTGCTAGTATTTTTTCAAATTTCTCAATTATTCCCAATCATATATCATTAGACTTTAAATTCGCACCTAAAGGCAACCTAAGATAAGTTGTTGCAACACATGATTCCGGTTAGCTCTCCCAAGTTTACTGGATAGACAGTGCTTTGTGACATATTTGTGTATAGTCCAGCAACAACTTCAAAGATGTGCAAAATCAAGTTTAGCTTAATAACTAATGATCTATCTACTTGACAAAATAGCAGAGTATCATCCGCATACAACAGATGTGAAATTGTGACATTGTTTCCCGTGAGACTGCCTACTTTGGAGCCTTCAATCCATTGTAGTTGCATGCTTCTTGGGGCATCTTACTCAGGCCTTCCATAGCAAGGATGAAAAGAAGGGAAAGATAACTGATCTAGATTTAGAATGAATTGTCACACAAACTTTTAGGAAAAACACTCTTGATAGAAGCGCTTTCTCTTGTAAGGAAGTATTTCAAACAAACTAAAAATTTAAAGTTCCTCTTTCTCCTATAAAGATGGTGATATTGTAATCGAACAAGAATGAATCATAGTCGGTCATAAAAGAGGTTACTGAAAAAATCTGACTTAACCTAAATATAAATTGGTTGAAAAATAAATAATGAATATCAAATTATTATATCAAATAGTAAGAATATATATACTAATATGTTCAAATATGGTTTTACCATTTTCTTGTATTGCTAGCATAGACCTTTTGTTTTATGAACTTGATCAAAATGATGAAATATTGGTGCAGCATGAGGAAATATTTTGTCACATACTCGACATGCAATTGAATTAGTATAAATTACCATTATGTTTCTCTTAACTATGTTGAATTGATATATGATTTAACTTAATTAAGAGAAAAATAACTTATACTTATACTAATATAATTGCATGCCAAGTGTGTGACAAAATATTTCTTTACGCGTCTATCATTTTGATGAAGTTTATGGAAGAAAATGTTATTTGCTGACAATAGTACGAAAATGCCAAAAAATAATGCATGAATATGTTAGTTTATATAGTATTATTATTTGATATTCATTATTTATTCGTCGACAAATTTATATTTGGGTTAAGTCAATTCTTTTGTTAACTCTTTAGGATCGACTATGGTTCATTTTTGTTCGATCAGAAAATCACAATCTTAATAAGAATTTTGAATTTTTAGTTTGTTTAAAACTTACAAGGGAAAACGATTCAATCTAGGGTATTTCTCCATTCGATTTTTAGATGGTGATTCATTCTAAATCGATGCAACATTAGCATTTTTTATACGAGGAAGATGGACTTCGAATTATTAGTTAAAGTAAAACTTCCTTACCAGGGCAGCTATCTAACAAGAGTGAAAAAGGTTTTATGTAGGAGTTGTTCACTGGTAGTATAGTTATGAAATTAATACTATTCTTGTAAAATTTAGCAACTACTTCTTTAGCATTTTGTTCCTTTAACTCTATGTTCAAAGATGACAATTAGTCTTATGTTATTTTGTCCAAGATAAACAATGAACTCTTTTGCTTATAAGAGTTATAATTAAGTTCATAATGATAGTTGAGCTTTGTCAGTACCTCCTCCAAAAATTCAAAGTTTCTCTTTCTCCTATAAGGATCGTGACTTTTTGAACGAACAAGAATGAATCATAGTTCGGTCCTAAAGGAGGTAAAGAAAAGAACCCGACTTAACACAAATATAATTGAGTTAGTTGTAAAATAAATAATGAATATTATGTAGTAATAATATAAAAACTAATATGTGCATGTGTAATTTTACCTTTCCCTTGTATTGCTAGCATATAACCTTCTCTTCCGTGAACTTTATCGAAATGATAGAGTAGTGCCAACAAGAGGAAATAATTTGCTACACACTCAATGCAATTAAATTAGTGTAAATCATTGTTATGTTTCTTTTAACTAAATTGAATTAAAATATGATTCAGGTTACTTAAGAGAAAAAATAATATATACTAATACTAATTTAATTGCATGTAAAAGTGTGTGGCAAAATATCTCTTTATGTGGATGATATTATTGTCAATGCAGTAATTCATCTCGTATCTCAGAGTTGGTTCTATAACTTGGGAAGATGTTTGATATGAAAGATCTTGACCCTTTACATTTCTTTCTGAGGTAAAGTATGTTGCTGAACTGTTGGCCAAGATAGAGATGACTTTGGCAAAGGCGGTAGCCATTCCTGTGGCTCAAAAGCATAGTTTCCATGAAGCTGTAGGAAGTCTTGTAGATGCCTCTTTGTACAAAATGATAGTAGGGAGCCTTCCGTATTTGACCCTCACAAAACCTGATATAAGTCATGCTATAAATTTAGCAAGCCAGTTTCTGCAAAGTCCAAACATTGAACATATTGAAGCGGTAAAAGGGATTTTCAAGTACATTAAAGGTACTCTACACTTTGGCTTAAGAATTATTTCTAAATCACCTTATATGTGGTATGGCTACTCAGATTCTGATTGGGGAGGTAGTACCACTATTAGGAGATCAATTACAGGCTATAACATCTACCTAGGTGCAAATTGTTTTTTTTGGACCCCCAAGAAATAGACTATAGTAGCCCGATCGAGTGCTGAAGCTGAGTATAGAGCACTAGCCTCCATTACCGTAGAAATGACGTGGATTTTGTATCTTCTTCATGACCTTGGAATGTTCCTTCGATCTATTCCTACGTTGTATTGTTATTATAACATGAGTGCCTTGGACATGACGATTATTCTAGTTATGCATGCTAGATACAAACATTTATTAACGGCCTATCATTTTTTTCATGAGAAAGTGGACATGAGACAACTTCTTATTCAGTTTGTGAAGTTTAAGGTCAACTAGTTGATATTCATACCAAAGTCTTAACAAAGCAGGTTTTCTTTGATTTCGCAGCAAGTTAGGAGCCACAAATCCTCCAATCATTAGCTAGAGGGGAAGTGTTGTAGGAAACTTGAAGTTCCTCCAATCATTAGCTAGAGGGGAAGTGTTGTAGGAAACTTGAAGACTGATGGAACATGTCGAAGGAATAGTAGACCGATGAGCATGTTAAAGGGGCAGATTCATTGAAGCAGACTAACAAGTTAGAGTTGGAGTCATACTAGGACTAGACTACTAAATCTCAAGTTATGTACGACTAAGCTACTGTATATTGTAGGAGTCAACAAGGATAAGGTATTTGAGTTATAATACAATACTACTCATGTAAACAATTGTGTTGTAGTAGGATTCATAGTATAACTAGAATATGACTCTTCTCCTATATGAGGAGCTTGTGACTCAACATTATTTTCATCAATGCATCCTCGATTTCTCCATAGTTACGTGAGATTTCTACAATAATATATATATAGCTATAAAATTTAAGCTATGAATTCAAAAATCACAGCTATTACGTATTAATAGACACGAAATTTTGAACACCATATGTATCTATAAATTCATTAATTTCTTAGCCACAAATATCAAATTGCTGAAGCTAATTTATTATTTTTGCTATGAATATTAATAATTGTGGCAGTAATTGTCTAAGGTAGCTATAACTTTATTGCTTTGATAAAATTTTATAGTTGATCATATCTTTTTGCTATGCGATAAATATTATTGTGGCAATATTAACCTTTTAGCCACAATAAATTATTTGAAACAAAATATTGTAGCTATATAAAATATTTTGCTTCAATTTTTTGACGCCCAATTTAGACTGACCTTTTAGCATTTTTAGGATTGCTATTCAATTAAATACATATTTTTAAAACTTATTTTAAATTTATAATTTTAGTCGACTTTGCATGAAAATTATATAATTAAGTATGTTTACTTTATAAAATTATTGTAAATATTATTAAAATATTTTAAAATTATTAATAAATTTCAAAATAATTACTTCATTCAAATGTTTTAAAATTTAAGTAATTTTCAATTATATAAAAACTAGGAAATTTATCCGCGCTTTCCGCGGGCATAAGTTATATTTCTAACCTTTTTAATAATAGCTTTTATAAAGAAGTAAAAGTAAATTGTTATAGGTTCGTAGAACATCTCTACAGAAACTAAATGACTTGACATTATCACATAACTCAAGAATTGTAAATAGATAATTAATGATTAAAGATATTTGATAATCTAATTATCTTTATCTTTTACATAACTTATCATATTATATGTTTGATGATATAATTGTCTTGTTAAAATTGAGTGATGTTTTTATGTAGCGATTAAACATCACTTTTTCTATTTATTTTTTGTACATGAAAAATATAGAATCTTATAATTTTATGGTTAGAATAACTCCGTGTGTGAATATATTTATGTGAAAATTTTCTATAATCAATATTACTTATATATAAGTTGAAATCGTTTTAAAAATGTACAATGCAACAACATAAATAATTTTTTAAGAGACATTCTACTTGTCTGAGGTCAAATGTTCACCACTTCGTTATCATTAATTTAATACTCTAACGAAAACTTATAGAAGGAGAAATAAATTTGGAAAAACAACAAAATTATATGTTTGACCCTTATATAAATTCATGTTTCACTAAACTGCGGAAGACCCTTCCGGATTCTTTATAAATGAAACTTTATGACATATTCATGCATTCTTACGTATGCTTGTTGGATTATGAAAGTACAAATAGATCAAAATGTTGGATTTTAGATTCATGTTAAAGAAATATTCTCGAAAATTAAAAAAATTAAAAATGAGTCTAACCTTGATATCAAACGCTCAGCAATGACTTGAGACATGAAGGACAATAAATCTATATTAATAGACATATCTTTTGTAGATTAAGATATTAGTTTTATTTAGAGTAGATTTTGTTTCATATTCTTCAAATTAATCCTGGCGAAAATAATCGTAACATACAACAAAATTTTCCGATTGAAAAGGAAAAATAAGTAAAACATTAAGAGGATTAAAATCGTTATCATAGTCAGATTATATACATTCAAATCATTAAAGGGAGTAAACTAGAGGATATTCATTGATGATAACAAATCATTCTAGCCAGAAAAGTTCTTATCTTTTGAAATAACAGACCTCAAAAATAACATTTCAATCAACTTTCAATTGTTAGAGTAATCATAATATCCAGTGATAAAATTAAGTAAAATACATAACAACATAAAATAAAAAAATATGTGCATGCAAAGTTATTAACTCTCAAAGGATTTTCTTAAGAACATAAAATCACATCCTTGTATGTGAAGGAATAACGTTGTTGATGAACAAATTTGAGATTTGTTAAGGCTTTTTTAATATACATCCAACAATTTCAGTAGAGAAAACTTTCTTGAATATTCAATTGACATTTGTTATTTAATTTGTACTAACAAATACTTGTAACAATAACTTTACATAAACATAAATAGCAAATTTTAAAACATATACTCAAAAACAGCAATCAACAAAATAAGCATAAATTAATGATTGTAAAAACTATGCCAGGATATGCAACATTGAAATGAAACTAAATGATACAAATCGATCCCATTGAATGCACATTGTAATTCTCTATTTATAGACAACAAATGATACTTGTAAAAAATGATTAATGTGTCTTATCGGAAAGGACACAATTCTTTGAAAAAGTTACAACCTTTCAAAAAGGGAACAACATTATGTAAAAGTCGCGACTCTTCATAAAAGTCGTAACTTTTCATAAAATTCGCAGCTTTTCCTGAAAAAAGTTAGAACATGTCATAAATTTAGAACATATCATGAAAGTCACAACTTTTTATAAAAGAGAAAGAC